CACGAGCTATCACGTCGTCATTCTCAGGGTGCGTCTTAGTTCATTTTATTCGGCCGTAAGATACCTAACGCTGGGTAATTTACAAAGAACAGAAATGTCCTGCAGTTTTGGAGGCTGGGGAGTCCAAGACTGAGGAGGAAGCATCTGTCAGGGTGTTCTTGCTGTGTCATCCATGGCGGAAGGCAGAAGGGCGAGGGAGGATGAGAGCAAGAGCAGGGCACACAAAAGCACCCATAGTCAGCCTCCTCCTTGTGTAAGGAATCCACCCCCACCAAAACTAACCCACTCCAGGCATTTCACCTTAGTCCGTTCATGCAGGTGGTGTCTACTTGCATCACAAACCTCTGCTGGGCCTTGCCTCCCGACACAGCAGCACTGGGGCACACGATTCTGCCACGTGGGGCTAGCATTGTGGCAGAGCTGCCGCCTGCAACACTGGCATCCCATGTTTGGCGCCCTTTCAAGTCCCAGCTGTTCCACTTCTGATCCAGCTCCCTGCTAACGTGCCTGGGGAAGCAGTGGAGGATGGCCCAAGTCCTTGGGCCCCAGCACCCACATGGGAAACCCTGATGGAGCTCCAGACTCCTGGCTTCAACCTGACCCAGCCCAGCCATTGTGGCCATCTGGGACATGAACCAGCAGATGGAAGATCTCTCTGTATCTCTGTCTCTGACTCTCCTCTTCTCTCTTTCTCTGTAATGCTGATTTTCAAATTAAAAAAAAATCATTCTGGCACAGGAACACATTCAGACCCTTACGGAGGGTAGAGAAAGGTGCCCCTCACCATCAGCTTTTTGCTTTCAAGTGTAAATAACCTTCCTGGCCTAGGGCAGTAGGCCTGAGCGTTGGCACCATTGTAAGTGCAGAAATGATATGAGGGCACATCAGGAAGTTTGAGGCAAATGGAATTAAAAGACCCTTTATTTTGGTGCAAAGATTTTTGAAGCTCATGTATATACAAGGTCTTCAAAAACAGTTTGTAGAAAATGCATAGTATGGACAAAACTGCACGGGTTCCAGAATTTTTTGTTCCAAAATAAACGTTTAAGAATTCTGTTTTCCTCAACCTTTTTGAAGCACTCGCCTATGTAAAGTTCTTACAGTATTTAATTTTAGTCATCAATTCCCTAACCTGTGATTTTGAACTTGCCTTTGAACTACAGATGTCCGTATGTGATGTGTTAGGCAGTTTGGGAAAATATGGTCTCGAAAACCAACTGAGTAAGATCATGTTATTTGGAGTAGATGTAGGAAAAGAAAAACTGAAGACAGGGAGAGATGCATTGGGAGACTTCCCCAAATGCCTTCTGATTTGATGGGGTAACATGACTTTATGAGAAGAATATTTTCTTGAAGTAGAGAAAATTTTGGCTGGACATTAGAAATATGACAGCAGTAAGGGAATATAATCCCTTTTCCAGTAAGAGTTTTCGTCTGTGGAGTGAGGAGTGTGGAGACAGCCGTATCAGACTTGGGAGCAGCTCTTGGGATCCTACACCCAGTCAGTCAGGAAAAGTCAGAGCTGGTGTGCATGTAGCACAGTGGATAAGACCCCACTTGGGACACCCACATCCAGTAACAGTGCCCAGGTTCAAGTCCTGGCTCTGCTTCCAATTCCAGCTTCCTCCTAATGTGTGCTCTGGGAGGCAATACAATTGCAAAAGAAAAAAATTGTAAATAGTGGCATTGTAGGCTGGCGCCACGGCTCAATAGGCTAATCCTCCACCTAGCGGCGTCGGCACACCGGGTTCTAGTCCCGGTCGGGGCGCCGGATTCTGTCCTGGTTGCCCCTCTTCCAAGCCAGCTCTCTGCTGTGGCCAGGGAGTGCAGTGGAGGATGGCCCAGGTGCTTGAGCCCTGCACCCCATGGGAGACCAGGAGAAGCACCTGGCTCCTGGCTTCGGATCAGCGCGGTGCGCTGGCTGCAGTGTGCCAGCCGCGGCGGCCATTGGAGGGTGAACCAACGGCAAAAGGAAGACCTTTCTGTCTCTCTATCCGCTCTGCCTGTCAAAAAAAAAATAGTGGCATCGTTTTATTTTGGGACAACCAGATCGAGTTCCTGGCTCCTGGCTTTGGCTTGTTCCAGCCTGGCTGTTACTGGCATTTGGGGAATAAATCAGTGGATGGCAATCGATCTCTCTCTGTGTCTGTGTCTCTGTCTCTCTGCCTTTCAAATAAATATTTTTAAAAAGACAGAGCAAGGCATGCTGGAAAGACAAAACATCTGCTTTCAATCTCTTCATTAAGTATTTCATCTTTTCTATATTAAACAATAAAGTTCTTGTTTCCTTTCCAGGGGATTGCCCTGTGTCCTTCAGGGCAGGATTCTACCCTTAAAAGACAATCATTCTAGAATAAACTTTCTCACCTTTCATTCTCTGGGTTTCTTCACATTATTACATTCTTCCCCCCTTCACATTCTTAAATACTGAGATCCCCAAGGAATTTTCTTTCTGTGTGTAATATATTTATCACATGTTGATACATATCATGCTAGAAAGTAAAATTTGAGACATTTTAAAAATGTCTATCAATTCATACAATGAAGTACCAAACTCATTACATGTTAATATGAATAACATTTTCTATGGAAAAATATCTATTTTCCAAAACAAAAAAAATTGTAAATAGTGGCATTGTTTTATTTCTAGAACTCCTAAAGTCTAGCTTAATAGGAGACAGCTGGATTCTCTTTTCTGCTCCATTCAGTCGGTTGTGATGTGTTGTTTTGCTTAAAGAAAATCCAGTCTCTCGTAGATACATAGTTGGGAAAAAAGAGGAGTATTTTAACCGCTTTCTTAGGTAGTTGTGGATGGTCTTAGTGTGTGTTACTAGTTAGTGTCAACTTGGAATCTACCCCATCAACAGGATTTTCATTTTCTACTATGTTGACATTTGCTGTGCTCTTTGAAACATTGAAGGAATCCTTTTATATGCTGTTATGCTGATCATTTGGAAACACTGATTGATTGAGTAAACACAGATTTTCCAAATGCTATACAACACCAAAAAACCCCACATTAGTCAATGTAGTCACCAATCTTGTCAAAATAGTCATTAGAAACTTGTCAAGCTCCTAAGAGCAGGTAAAATTTTCCAAAGTTTCACTTGAAAGTTTTATCATTGGCACAAAGCCAGGTGACAGGCCTGTGCGTGCATTTTAGTGAACATGTCTGCTGGTGACAGTATCTGATCAGCCATGATTTCAGTGTTGGAAGGGGCGAGTTCCCTCTGGGACTCAGGCACTCACACAGCTGCTTTTCTTTGAGATGTCTTATTTTGATATGGAGCAGTGCTTTAAGTACAGTTTCCGTTTTGTCACACATGAAGAAGACATTGGTAATCAGCGTTTGTTATGAAAGTAGTGTTGACCATGTGTGCCTCCACAAGGGTCTGAGCTGCTTGGAGAACTGCTGCACCTCCAGCTGTGGTTCATTCCTGGGGCATAGTCAGGTCAGAACCAGTATTTTATAAAAATGAAATGGAGTAGACTAGAACATGGCGGTGCATACTATGTAGAAAAGATAATTGTTTTGTGAAACTAACTTCACATCTTATTTTAAATTTTTTTTTTATTTTATTTATTTGAGAGACAGAGTGATAGAGAAAGGTCTTCTGTCCAGTGGTTCACTCTACAAATGCCTGCAACAGCTCTGTCTGGACCAGGCCAAAGCCAGGAGCCTGTAACCCCATCCAGGTCTCCCAAATGGGTGACAGGGACCCAAATACTTGAGCCAACTTCTGCTGCCTTCCTAGACTCATCAGTAGGATCAGAAGTAGAACAGTCAGGACTTGAACTGGCACCCTGATAGGGGACACCAGCATCCCAAATGGCAGCTTAACCCACTGTGCCATGACAGCAGACCCTTATTGCAGATCTTTATATATGCCACACGTGTGCAGTAGGCCATGCCTGTGAAAGGTATTTATTTGACTTTTCAACTTACATATATGTGTATACATATATTTGTGTGTGTGTATATATACATATACTATATATATACTATTTTTTTTAAAGATTTATTTATTTACTTGAAAGAGAGAGAGAGAGAGGAAAGGGCAGAGAGAGAGAGAGGTCTTCCATCCACTGGTTCACTCCCCAAATGGCCGCAATGAAACCAGGAGCCAGGCACTTCCTCTAGGTCTCCCACGGGGGTACAGGTACCCAAACACTTAGGCCATCTTACACTGCTTTCTCAGGACATAAGCAGAAAGCTGGATCAGAGGAGCAGCTGGCACACAAAGCAGTGCCCATATGGGATGCTGGTGCTGCAGGCAGAGACCTAGCCTATTATACCACAGTACTGGCCCAAATATTACATTTTAAAATTCAGTATTCTTGCCTCAGAAGTGCTATATCTTCTGGGGAATTATTAGACAAGTCATGAAGACCTCCTGGAGCTACCCCCTCTCCCAAAGAGAAAATCTAACTAAAAATTGCTTAGATATAATGTTACTTTAGATTCTTGTCTTTATTTTGATCCTCATGCTAACCCTAGACATGTGAAGACTTAAAATATATGTAGCATGGGAAAAATTCAGTTATATGTTAGTGTTAACTAAATAATTAGCTAATGGCACAGCAGGTGGAAAACATCTTGATCAGCTCTGGTAGTTGAGAGATCTCTTCTGGGTGCAGGTAAGTGAGGAGAAAGGGCAGACTTTCTGAAGTCTTTGCCTGTTTCTAGATTAAGGATCTTCATGGTTCTCAGCTGTGTCTGGGGAGCTTTGAATAACCCCAAAGCCAACCCACACGCCTGTAGAATTTGGTCAGAACAGTAGGATTGACAGGCAGGTAGGAGGGAGGGCTTTGGAAGCCCCCCCCCCCATGGTGAAACCTAGCAGCCCCCAGCTGAGTTTCACTGGTCTGTGATGATTCCAGGTGCATTGTTCTGAGAGGAGAAAGCACCTCTTTATTAGACTCTATAAAGGGTGAGGGGAAGGTGCTGCTCTAGATGAATGTGGTTAGAGACATTGATTGCAAGCAATAACACTACTTACCTAGATGGAGTTTGAGACTCTTGCCGTCAGCCTGGCACAGCCCTGGTCGTTGTGGCCATTTGGGGAGTAAACCAGCATTGGATTGAAGATATCTCTCCCTCTGTAGCTCTGCCTTTCAAATAAATAAATCTTAAAGAAAAACAGCAAAGTAGCATCTTAACCTCTGTGTCAAACGTCCACCCAAAGTATACTTTTCAATTTAAAAAAAGTCAATAAAAGCAGTACTGCCTATCTACCTGCCAGAACTAGTAAATGTAACAGTCTGTATTCCACATAATATAATTAAGATGTTTTCATCAGGGACCTGCGCTTGGTTTAGTAGGCTAAGCCTCCACCTGCAGTGCAAGCATACCACATGGGCGTTGGTTCATGTCCCAGCTGCTCCTCTTCCAATCCAGCTCTCTGCTTATTGCCTGGGAAAACAGCGGAAGATGGCCCAAGTCCTTGGGCCCTGCACTTGTGTGGGAGACCTGGGAGAGACTCCTGGCTCCTGGCTTCAGATCTGCCCAGCTCCGGTTGTAGTGGGTGTTTGGGGAATGAACCAGTGTATGAAAGACCTCTCTCTGTCTGTGGCTCTGCCTCTCAAATAACTAAATGATTTTTTTAAATATGTGATATTGACATGTTGATTCTGAAACATTGTTTTCATCCTGGGTGGAGTTCATAGGGCTTATTTCTGCATGAAAGAATATGAATGAGCTTGCTTTTTTTAAAAAAAGATTTCTTTATTTTGAAAAACAAAATAAAGATTTAATTTTGAAAGGCAAAGTGACAGAAAAAGTGTGACATTCCATCCACTGGTTGACTCCCCAAATGGCTGCAAGAGCCAGGGCTGGGCCAGGGGCTTCATCTGAGTCTCCCATATGGGTAACAGGGACCCAAGTCCTCAGGCCACATACCACTGCCTTCTCAGGCACATCAGGGAGCTGGTTTGGAAGTGGAGCAGCCGAGACTTAAACAAGCACTCTGATGTGGGATGCCAGCATCACAAGTGCACCACAGTGCAAGCCCCTTAAACATTTTAAAAACTTATTTATCTTACTTACTTGAAAGGCGGAGAGAGTTAGTGATAGAGACCCCCCCATATGCTGGTTCACTCCCCAGATGACTGCAACAGCTGTGTGTGTGATCCAGGCTAAAGCCAGGAGCCTGGATGGAACTGAATCCTGGTGTGCATCAGCAGGGAGCTGGAATGGAGAGAAGAGCCAGGACTTGACCCGAGGCATTCAGATGTGAGATGGGGTCATCCCAACAGTGTCTTCACCATTGTGCCAAATCCCCATCTCTCATGTTGACGTCTTACATTACTGAAGTAACGTTTGTCAAATAGGAGAAACCAACACAGACACATCACTGGTAACTGCAGACCCCCTTCAGATCTCTAGCTTTTCCGGTAAAGTCCTGCTATTGGCCTCGGGACACCACACTGCATTTATGTGGCTTCTCTGCTCTCTGATGGTCTTTGAATCGTTCCTTGTTTTCTGAGACTTTGCCAGTTTTGAGGAATGCTGGTCAGGTATTACGTAGACTGTCTCTCAGCTCGGGTTTCCCAGCGTTCTTGTCTTGGTTAGCGTGCAGTCATGGGTTCTAGAGAGAAACGTCACAGAGGCAGAGTGCCACTCGTCACATCTTATGGCGCAGGTGCAGCCATGACTCCCGCTTGGGAGAGTGGCTGTGATCCTCAGGTCAGAGGCATGTTTACCAGCATTCTCCTTGGTGACCCTGGCCCCTCAGTACCCATTTCCAGGTAAATCAGTGACTTCCTGAGTGGTGCTGGGCAGAACCGTTCTGTGCCCTAAAGTTCCGCTGTGCATCTGGTTTGTAGAAACAGCTCCCTCCCCAGCCCCAGCAACCGCTCATCTGTTTCCTTCCCTGCAGTCCTGCCTCTTCCAGAATGTCGGGAATTTTGGAATCACATAATATGTAACTTTTAGGATCTGGCTTCTTTCACTCACCAAATGCTTTAACTCTCATCCCTGCAGCATGAGTCAACGGCTTGTTTTGTTTTTTAAAATCTCTGGATAGTGTTTCATTTTATGGGTGTAGCACAGCTGTTGATCCATTCGCATATTGAAGGGCATCTCAGTCGCTTCCAGCGTTTGGCGATCGTAAATAAACGTGCCGTAAACATTTGCGTGGGTATTTCCCTGTGGATGTAAGTTTTCAGTCTATTTACAGAAGTTCCTAGTTGTGTGAGTTCTGGGCTGGGCGGTAAGTTTTTAATTCATAAAACACTGCCAAACTGTCTTCCAGAGTGACTGTACGTGGGAGGCAGTAAATGGAAGTTTGTGAAGGCTTGGAGCAATTTCTGATTTAAATATTTGCTAGAAATCGCACATTGACGCCACCGGGGCCCGGACTTTGCTTGTAGGAAGATCGTAACACAGTAAGTCAGCAGCTTTGCCAGCCTGGCTGAACTAGATCCTCCAAACTAGAGTGGGGGAGACAGGAGCAAGCCTGGGCCAGAAAGTCAGCGGCTAGCACTGTGCTGACCCAGAGGCAGTGCCTCGCACCGGTAAATGCCTCTCCGATTGTTGTAGGACTTGTGGTCGGTAATCCAAAACACCAAAGCGACTGCTTTTCATAGTTTTGTAGAGAGAGAATCTGGCTTCCTCGTGCCATCCTACCAGAACCCAGAAGTCTCGGCTCCCCTGTAGTGTTCTCCCTCTGCCCTGTCACCCCTCATTCATACACATGCATGCTATGAATGAGCCGAACCTTAAAAAATAAAATTCTGTGGCAGGCGTTTGTCCCAGTGGTTAAGAAACATCTAGGACCGCCTGCATTCTATATCAAGTTCCTGGTTTGAGTCCCAGCTCCTCTTTCACTCCAGCTTCCTAAGTGCACCCTGGGAGGTGGCAGATGGCTCAAGTACTTGAGTCCCTGCCACCCCCATGGGAGACTAGGGTGGAATGCTGGGCTCCTGGCTTCAGCCTGGCCCAGCCCTGGCTGTTGAAGGGATTCAGGGAATGAGCCAAAGGGTGGGAGATCTGTCTCTCTGCCTTCAAATACAGTAAGAAATAAACACGTAAATTTTTTACAATTCTCTTAGCAGTATTCAGTTCCTCTGCCTTTTGGGTAAAATTTCCTTTACATACTCTTCCTCTTCTCACAACTTCACCAAAAATCAGAAAGCCAGTTTCCCACATTGCTAAATCCAGATCCTTTGTCAGTCCTCATTTTCCTTGCACTTCAGTAGCCTGTGATACAGGAGATGTCCCCACGTGGCTTATTATTCTCAGAGGATCGCACTCTCCTCATTTTTCTCCTCTGCTTACTGGGCCGCGCTGCCCCACGTGGCTTTCACAGATTCCCACCACCCCTGCCCCTGTCAGTCCGGACGCTTATTGTTTTTACCTTGCTTCTCTCTAATTCCAAATGCTGACTTTCTTGTGCACTGACATGTCCAGCTCGCACCTCTCCTGAGTGTCAGTCCTGTCCACCTGCAGAACTCCCAGTCCCTGCAACCCAATCAAGTCTCCTAAGTCATCAACAAAACCTGGCGATCCCAACCCCTCAGGCTGCTCATAATCCAGCCAGTTTCCCTGCTTCCACCCTACCCTAGGTCATGGCACCCCCATCTTTTGCCTAAATCATTGTAATTGCTCTCTGATGGGTTTCCTTATGTCTGCCCTTACTTCCCTGTAGTGTAGAATTTTTTTTTAAATATTTATTTATTTGAAAGTCAGAGTTACACAGAGAGAGGAGAAGCAGAGAGAGAGAGAGAGAGAGAGAGGTCTTCCATCTGATGGTTCACTCCCCAACTGGCTACAACGGCCGGAGCTGCGCCAATCCAAAGCCAGAAGCCAGGAGCTTCTTCCAGGTCTCCCATGCGGGTGCAGGGACCCAAGGACTAGGGCCATTTCCTACTGCTTTCCCAGGCCATAGCAGAAAGCTGGATTGGAAGTAGAGCAGCTGGGACTGGAACCGGTGCCCATATGTGATGCCGGAGATTCAGGCCAGGGCATTAACCCACTGCGCCACAGCGCCGGCCCCAGTGTAGAATATTTTTAATACGTCAGCCAGAGAGAGGTTTAAAATGTAAATCAGATTTTCACTCCTGCTTATAATCCTCCAATTGCTTCTATCCTGGATAAAGACCAAAACCTTTAGAATGGCCCACAAGGTCCTGTATGAGCTGCTACCTTCTGACCCCGTCTTCTTCCGTTCACCCTGTTCAGGCCAGCTTAATCCCCTTGCTTGGCATCTGTGTTCCCTCCTCGGGGTCTTGCACTTGCTGTTCCCTCTGCCTGGAATGTCCTCTCATTGGACTGCTATAAAGCTTTATTTCCATACCATTTCCAGATTTCTGCTCTAATTCCATCCTTTAAAAAAAAAATTATTTATTTGAAAAGCAGAAAGAGAGATGGAGAAACAGAGGAAAGATTTTCCACATGCTAGTTCACTCCGCAGATGGACACAACAGCTAGGGCTGGGCCAGGCTAAAGCCAGGAGCCACTGAGTCTCCCACAAGGATGGCAGGAATTCAAGCACTTGGGCCATCATCTGCTACCTTCCCCTGTGCATTAGCAGGAGGCTGGATTGGAAGTGGAGCAGCTGGGACTCCATGTATCTCCGATACAGGATGCTGACATCACAAGCAATTGCTTAACCCATGTGCCACAATGCTGGCCCCTTCAATTTCATCTTTGGCATCTTTTGGGGGGACTTTTTTTTTTTAAAGATACATTTATTTATTTATTTATTTATTTGAAAAAGTTACACAGAGAGAGGGAGAGACAGATCTTCCATCTGCTGGTTCATTCCCAAAATGGCCACAACAGCCAGAGCTGGGCTGATCTGAAGCCAGGAGTTTCTTCCAGGTCTCCCACATGGGTGCAGAGGCCCAAGCACTTGGGCCATCTCCCACTGCCTTCCCAGGCCCATTAGCAGAAAGCTGGATCGGAAGTGGAGCAGCCAGGACTCGAACCAATGCTCATAGGGGATGCTTTACCCACTACACCACAGTGCCACCCCCACGGTGAGGGCTCCTTAAGCATCACATGAAATAGCTGCTCCCTATCCACTACTATTCTTGTTTTTTTTTTTTTTGTCCATAGCACTTTTCACAGAGCTCACCTGGGCACTCCTGGAGATGGGAATTCTCCCAGGAGGTTTGTTCTCAGAGCTGGGGCTGGGCACGCTCACCGTGTGATGTGATCCCTTGCCATGCTTGCTCGGCCGTTGCCACTTTCTGCCCTCAGCAGACCCCAACCACCAGTGCAGCCACCCACTCTGGAACCCCCCAAACTGTGAGCTAAATAAACTTTTTGTCTATATAAAGTTAGCTGTTGCCTCATATGTTTTGCTGTAGTAAAGGAAACCTAACACAATTTGTGCCTGGTACGCAGTGGGCACTCAAACATTTGAAAAAGAAGAGTGAGGGATGGTTTGTATTTGAAAGAGCAAGGCAGGATGAGGTGGCTGCTACCTAGAATGAACCAATTTCTGCCACATAGCCAAATCCTGTTTCTTTGAAGTCTTTTTCTGGTTACTCTTATCCACCCGTGTTGTTTTACCCATATCATACCCTAGCCTATTCTGAATAATTAGCACTCAACTCTTCTTATTCTCTATAATAATATTTCCCCAAACACTCGTTAACATTTTGAGGTAAAAGAAGAAGCACATATTTTATTGGTATAAGGTGCCTTTCCCAAAACTCAGAATAGGGAATAAGAATAGAAAATTAGGGGCCAGCGTTGTAGCACAGTGGATTACAATGCCAGCATCCCTTATGAGCGCCAGTTCATGTTCTGGTGCTCCACTTCTGATCCAGCTCCCTGCTATGGCCTGGGAAAAGCAGCAGAAAGAAGATGGCCCAAGTGCTTGGGCCCCTGCACCCATGTGAGAGACCTGGATGAAGCTCCTGGCTCCTGGCTTCCACCTGCCCCAGCCCTGGCTGGTTGTGGACATCTGGGGAGTGAACCAGTGGATGGAAGATCTCTCTGCCTCTCCATCTATTACTCTGTTTTTCAAATAAAATAAATCCTTAAAAAAGAATGTAAGACTCAGTAGCCTACTGCAGTGAGACTGTCCTGAGAATTGTGGGATTAGATTAGACTAAGAAGGTTAGAATTTTGCAAGTGATGGTTCCACTACCCAAGAGAAGAAATCACAAAGGTGATTAAGGATGGAAGATCCATCTCCCTTTCCCCACCCCACCCCACCCCGTCTCTCACTTTCTCTGTAACTCTGCCCTTCAGATAGATAGATCTTTAAAAAAAGGGCCAGGGGGAGTGAGGAAACGACGGGGTGCACAGTGAGGACAGAGCCTGGCACACAGGAGGCCCTGAGTGAATTGGAAGGAGGGTGGATGAATGGAAATCTTCCAGAACCGTCTGTGTGCGTCCTACTGTCCTGCTCATTCTGCAGCCCTAATCAGCTTCCCAGGCACTGTAGTGTAGAGGGCTTGTCCTGGGCCGCATTGCTTTTACATACTCTGGCATGGTTTTGCATCAGTCTGTGTTTCCTACAAGATCTGAATGGACAGAATTATAGCAAGAACACTCGCTACTAATTACCTTAGGAGTTTGTCTGCAGCCTGACAGATGTCAAAATTTATTTCTGATTTTAATTACACCATAGTCCCCTGAGTTTGCTGTGGTACCATGAGGACACCATGGCACACAATTTAGTGATCGCAATCCCAAGGAACACTGCTATGCTTACCTGGAGCCACACTTGCACACTGAACTCGAGGATGTATAACTAAGAAGTACAAGGAAGGACTCTGAAAATGGTACTTCCAGCCTGAGAGAAACGGTCCTTGGACTCCTGTGCTCAGATAAGTGAGCAGAGCAACCAAAATGGATTTGAAGTGCTGAATTCAGTTTGGGAACAGGTGTGTGGGGGGCAGGGAGGGAAGGAAAGAAAAAAAGAAAACTTGTGTCTTTCAAGAAAGTACAAGGATCTGGTTATGGCAGGGGTATCAAGATTGATTAGGCAGAGTTGGTGCTCCTCCAAGGTAAACTTGCCCCCAAGTTACATGATAATGAGAAAAAATGGTGGACCTCTAAAAGAGCAAGCAGCACTTTGAGCTGAACTGACAGTTACAGCTTCTCTCATGCTCATGGATTGAGATGGCCCTGTGTTCTCCTCAATGAATTGTCGTCTACTTAAGAGAAAAAGCCAAACACCAGAAAATGCTCATGAATACTTGCTCTTTCCAAGATCCTCCCCCCAACCAGGAAATTCAGAAAAATCAGGAAAAGAGGGTGTCCTGGGTGGCAGTTAGCTGAGCAGCAATAAAAAATTCTTTCTAATCAATTAACTTATCTATCACTTCCTCCCCCCTTCCCCCTAGCGCCTTCTCTGAATTTTAAAAAATTCAACAGATGCTACTGCTCGACACTGTTCACTGAGCCCCACAGAAAGCCCAAGGCTGGACTTCCCTTAACATCGGAGAAGTGGGACATAAACCTAATCTGGCCGTAACGGAGGGCTCTGATCAGATGCTGTGACCCGGGCAGCAGCCTGCTATTGCCTGAACTCTGCCCGGGAGTCACGGGGGCTTTGTAACATTTGATTGTCTACAAGCTCGGCTTCAGGTTTGCCACTGAATTCTATAGAAAAAGTCCTGTGTAATGTTGTTAAGCCTTGTGTTCTAAGATTGGGCTTATAAATTTAAAAAGACAAGTTGTAGGTGAGCAGAGGCGTCAAAGAGCTGTTTACACTCATTGATCAGAGGCTGATTTCATCAGTAGTATTTCAACAGCGAGAGGCTCAGAAACTCCTTTTCTCCCCCCACCCTCTGTAGAAACGTCTTTATAATTGAACGTGGCAACACTGCCCTAAACGCAGCGCGTGGTGGTTTTCTTACAGCCCATGCTGTGTCTTTCACTGAGCTGGGTGACAGTCGGAAAGTGGAGCTGACTGTGCGGTTGTGCTCTCCTCCCCTGTAGCGTGTTCCATGGGAAACGGCACGAGCAGACTCTACAGCGCTCTCGCCAAGACGCTAAACAGCAGCGTTGCCTCTCAGCACCCAGAGTATTTGGTGTCACCTGACCCTGAACGTCTGGAGCCCATCGACCCTAAAGAGCTTCTTGAGGAATGCAGGGCCGTCCTGCACACCCGCCCTCCCCGGTTCCAGAGGGACTTTGTGGACCTGAGGACAGATTGCCCCAGCAGCCACCCGCCCATCAGGGTCATGCAGTGGAACATCCTTGCCCAAGGTAGGCCTGATGCTTCTGAGCAGTCACCTTTGCTCTGCGTTCCTTTTTGCTTCCGCACGTGACATCTTCAGTGTGGGGAAGAGGTATGGGCAGGTGGAGGTGTAGAAGGATGGGGCAGCTGCGAAGAGCCTGGGGTCAATTCCTGGCTCCAGTCTGGCTCCAGCTCCCTGTGAGGTAGACCCTGTGGGGCTCAGGTGATTGGATTCTTGCCACCCACATGGAATGAGTTTCTGGCTCCCAGATTTGACCCCACTGGGAGGGGACATCGCAGCCATTTGAGTGAAATAATTGAATGAGAGCTCTCTGTCCCTCTGCCTCTCGAATATATTTTTTAAAAGATTTATTCCTTACCTTCCATGCTTATAGGCTATCCAAGAACAATGAAAGTCTGTCTTCAGCACATCCAAATGTCAAGTTTGACTTCTTTAGGAATTTAATGGAATAGCCTCCAACTTTGTGTTCTCCAGGCTTCAAGTCCATAGCACTGAGATAGCATTTGCAGAGAGGAACTGAATGGGTAGCAGAGAACTTTCTGTAGGGAATGGCAGTTGTGGGAAAGGGGGATTGGGGAGTGCTTCTAGGTATACTTGTGGCGAGACTCTAAACCATACTCATCTTCATAACTTGAGACCAAAAAGATGCAGCTTCAATTCTCCGTAGCATAGAAAGGATTCCTTTCCTGTGTCTTTTGAATTAAAAAAACATGCTGTCAGTCAATGTTCTATAGCGTTTAAGAAAAAGCAACAGGCCTCACTTTTTTTTTTCTACAAAAGGAGGAATACTTCTGACTTATCAATCTTTGATTCTTTTATTTTTCCAGGTTTTCATGCATAAGTAGGAAAAGCAGCCTGCACTAATTAGGTCCCATTCATTCTGAATAGTGCGTGCTAACCTCCATTCACGTGGCTTTATTAGCATCAGTGTTCAAACTTACAGGTTCATATACCTGAATTTGTGTGGCTTGACACAGTTAGATCCCCGGGACTGCAGAGAACACTGTTTTCCTAACTGAAGGTCCAACCAAAGATCCTATGTGTTGTCATGCAAAAGAAAAAATCAGTTGCTAGCTCCCTCCACGTGGTGGGCAGTTCCTTTGCATAGTGTAGGTGCGTTCTTGCAGCACCGAGCAGGTAAGCAGGTGCCCCGGAGGCAGCTACACCGAGGAAGCATGCAGAGGGGCTGGGGTTGGGCCCAGCAGAGCCGAGGCGGCTCCTGGGCACGTTCTGTAGAAGCTGACTGCCTTTTTCTTTTCAGCTCTTGGCGAAGGCAAAGACAACTTTGTCCAGTGTCCTCTTGAGGCCCTCAAGTGGGAAGAAAGGAAGTGTCTCATCCTAGAAGAAATCCTAGCCTACCAGCCTGATATATTGTGCCTCCAAGAGGTGGACCACTACTTCGACACTTTCCAGCCACTCCTCAGCAGACTGGGCTATCAAGGCACATTTTTCCCCAAGCCCTGGTCACCCTGTCTAGATGTAGAGCACAACAATGGCCCAGATGGCTGTGCCTTGTTTTTTCTCCAAAATCGATTCAAGCTCGTCAACAGCGCCAATATTAGGCTGACGGCTATGACCCTGAAAACCAATCAGGTGGCCATCGCGCAGACCCTCGAGTGCAAGGAATCGGGCCGGCAGTTCTGCATCGCCGTCACCCACTTAAAAGCACGCACTGGCTGGGAACGGTTTCGGTCAGCGCAGGGCTGTGACCTCCTCCAGAACCTGCAGAACATCACGCAAGGAGCCAAGATTCCTCTTATTGTTTGCGGGGACTTCAATGCGGAGCCAACAGAAGAGGTCTACAAACACTTTGCTTCCTCCAGCCTCAACCTGAACAGCGCCTACAAGCTGCTGAGCGCTGACGGGCAGTCGGAGCCGCCCTACACCACGTGGAAGATCCGAACCTCGGGGGAGTGCCGGCACACGCTGGACTACATCTGGTACTCTAAGCACGCGCTCAGCGTGAGGTCCGCGCTGGATCTACTCACCGAAGAACAGATTGGACCCAACCGGCTACCGTCCTTCAATTACCCCTCAGACCACCTGTCGCTGGTGTGTGACTTCAGCTTTAACGAGGAATCCGATGCACTTTTATAAAAAGGCCCTCCTGCATCTGTGTGATCACAAGTCTTAACCAGGGATGTTTCAGGAAACTGAAATAGGATACGAAGCTGCCTGAGGAAGGATTCCTAGTTTCTAACGCTTCACTTTCCATGTTGCCAGCATGCCCTTGGGAAAAGTTAGTTCACAAACCCTTTCCATTAAAGCCTACAGCAGATAAAGCTGTTTGCACTCCGGTTCTGGCTTGTATTCTTTCCTTTCCCTCAGCATTACAACTTGATCATGTAAGGGCATTCAATTAGGCTCATTTCCAGTTCGAGGAGGCTGTAAAAACTCCTTCGTCATTAACAAGTATATAGATTTCTCTAGATGGCGTTTCAGGTTATTTATTTGTGGGTTTTTAATATGTCAGCAAGACATGCATGGCAATATTTATTTTTTTATATATTCATGTAGAATTAAGTAAATGAATTAGCATCATGAACATTTTAGAACCATGCAAAACACAAGCCGTAATAATATGTGTACAAAGGCACCATGTGGCCTGCAAGTCTGTGTTATTTAAGTGCATCAGGTCTTCTTGATGCAGTCTGCATTAACTAATCCTTGCTCTGCCTCCACGTTCCCCACTATTGTGTTTCTGGAAGATATTTCCAATTAGTCCCCAATTATTTTAATCAATTAATTTTCGTTGTTTAATCACTTATGTATGTATGCATTTCTACTGGAATAATACTGGTATACATTTTTAGTGCTCGACACCGTCCTTTGCACTGGAACGTTTTCCACATAGCTTGTTTCGCAGCGGTTATGTGGCGGTGGCTAACAGTCCATGGGCCCTTCTGTTCAGATGGGAAACTTTCTAGAAAGCCTGTTAATGGGCTGTCATTGAAACTGCCCAAGATTACTGGATGACTGGTTCAAAACATCTAGAAAGCAGAATGTGGAAAAGTAGAAAGATATTCTGGTAAAAATAACAGGTGAAGCCTCTCAATATTTTAATGTATGAGTTGCAAATGTTTAATAAATGGTCTTTTAAAGCTAGTGTTTAATATCTGGTCTTTTTAGTCTGTAAGAACCTGGGATAGACAGGACCTTTATGTTACGTGGTGACCCACAGTAGCCATTTACCCTAGACCCCTACTTTGATGGATTTGGAATTGGGTGTTTATATGGTAGCTTCAGCACTGAGGTCGAGTTCCTGTAGCCGCTTCATGCAAATACTGGGACTGGACTCTGTAACACCGTATACCGTATGCACACAAGCTTGGTTCAGATCTTGGCGTGACCATAATCACTGATTAGAACATGTGTTAGTGTAAACATTCAGTATTGAGCTTACCTTCCCAAAGTGCCAGCCTGCAGAGAAGTCGTGCCAGCCGTCAGCAAGTCTGGCTGAGAATGAAAGCCCAGCAGTGTTTGAATTCCTGGTGTTGTCCACCAATCTATGATTTAACAGGGTGCGGAGGTAGAAGGTAGGGATATAGGCAGGTTGGGTGTTACCAATGGGCACAGAGGCTTCTGGAGACAGCAACATGTGACTGCAGTGTGTCAAACTCCTTATGAGTTAGCCTTTGGAGTGACCACGACAGGAGGCTGAACACTTGCTTCAGTGATGGGGCCTTCACTTAAAGGTAATTAAGTGAGCGTTCTGTGTAACACATTTTACAAGTATCTACATCTTGCTGGGTTGCCTTTTGGACCGTCAGTCATCTGAAGGCATAATGGTAAATGACAAATTTGTTCTAAAGGTTAAGTACAGTTTCGAATTCTTTAAGTGTTCCATGCAAAGGTTTCTCTTATCCCAACCCTAAGTCTTTGGTTCTGCTTTTCTTTTTATATCACATACAATATTTTGTCCTTATATAGTAATTTTAGAGAAGGTGAATTGTGCAGATTTGAGAGTGGCATGAATTTTTGTTTCCTTCATACTATATTTCAGTAGATTACATTCTACACAGTGTTAGCAATGACTGCCTCAATTTATCTGAAAGCTTTATGGTATATACCTAGGAAGAAACTAGGTTTTGAGTTCCTTAACCTTTGGCCCTACAAGTTTTACATACAATCCCCAAATGGTCACAATGACCAGGGCTGGGCTGGGGCGAAGCCAGGAGCCTGGGACTTCATCCATGTCTCCCACGTGGGTGATAGAAGCCCAAGCACTTGAGCCACCTTCCACTGCTTTCCCAAGTGCATCAGTAGGGAGCTGAACCTTAAGTGGAGTGGCCAGTACTTGAACCAGAATTCCATATGGAATGTTGGCAGCACAGGTGGTAGCCTAACCTGCTGTACCACAAAAGAATTTGTTTTTAAGATTTTATTTATTTGAGAGGGTTACAGACAAGAGAGAGGGAGAGTCAGAAAGGTCTTCCATCCATTGGTTTCCACCCCCAATGGCCACAATGGCCCGAGCTAACTGATCCATAGCCAAGAGCCAGGAGCTTCTTCTGGTTCCCCCCATGGATGCAGGAAGCCCAAGCACTTGGGCCATCTTCTACTGCTTTCCCAGGCCATAGCAGAGAGCTGGATTGGAAGAGCAGCCAGAACTCAAACTGGTGCCCATTTAGGATACTGGCACCACAGGCAGACGCTTAGCCCACTATGCCACAGCACCAACGCCTCCAAGTAGAATCTTAGAATCTTTAGGAGTTCACAAGGTCAAATAATTTGAACAAAATGACAACTAATGGTATCTGAGCTAAGATTCAAATCTGGGACTGTCTCAACTCCAAAGTGTCTGCTTCTGTCCTACCACCACATTCCTTTGGCTCTGAGCGAGGACACACAGGAGACAGGTGATGTGGGGGAGCAAGAGATTTGTTACATGAAAAATTGTCAAACCATGTAAGTGATTTTTGTAGGGCAATTACATTTTATCACATGAGAAGCACGAAACAGTGGTTGATAGAGATTTCCGTTATGCTGACACAGTAGTCTAATTTTGCCTAGAACATCTGATATTGTTTGCATACTTCAATGGTAGCTTATATGAAATGAAGCAGTAAGAGCAGCCATGCTAGTCGTGTTTAAAACTAAAGGAAGAAATAGATGCAAACATTCTGTTTCTAAACCATTTTCTAAGACATCCAAGATTTGTTAACACTGAAGGGAATGCTGCATATAATTAGATAATGTGCCTCAGACTCGAACAATTTGTAAGACTCAAATTCTAAAAAGGTAAAATTAAAACATGGATAATTTCAATTTTAGAAAAAAAAATCCCAAAAGTGAATGTGCTTACATAAAGAGCACTGATTAATTTTTAAAGGGATGTATAAAAATATGGCACATGGCTCATGTTGTGATGTAGCAGGTTAAGCCACCACCTGCAACACTGGCATCCCATATGGATGCTGGTTCACGTTTCAGCTTTTCCACTTCCGATCCAGCTCCTTGCTAATGGTCTAGAAAAGCAGTGAAAGAAAGCCCAACCACATGGGAGACCCAGAGAAGCTACTGGCTCCTGGTTTCAACCTGGCCCAGAGTGAACCAGTGGATGGAAAGACCTCTCTGTCTCTCCTTCTCTCTCTCCAATTCTGCCTTTCAAATAAATAAAACTTCAAAAAGTTGCACAAGCAGCCTTTTTATCCACAAAACACCAAAATGGGATAGTCCTGGACTTGGGCCTATAAAAACTGGGGGAGGGGGCCAGTGTCTACAGTGCCAGCATCCCATATGGGCGCTGGTTCGAGTGCCGGCTGCTCCACTTCCCATCCAGCTCTCTGCTATGGCCTAGGAAAGCAGAAGATGGCCCAAGTCCTTGGACCCTTGCACTCACGTGGGAGCCCGGAGGAAGCTCCTGGCTTTGGATTGGCACAGCTCTGCTGTTGTAGCCATCTGGGGAGTGAACCAGCAGATAGAAGACCTCTCTCTCTGCCTCCCCTTCTCTGTAACTCTGCCTTTCAAATAAATAAATAAAACTAGGGAAGAAGGAAGTGGCAACATTTTCAAGAGCACTGAGCTGAGACTGTGACCCTGAAAGAGGCACACTCTCTGGGGTTCTGCTTTCTCACCCAGAGCCTGTCATCATACTTGCCCTCCTGAGATGTGAGATGTCTATAAAATACTACTGTAGTCATTAAGTGCTTAAAATTCTAAACAAGGGAATGGCCCTATATAGTTGTGTGTTTTTTTTTTTTTTTTTTGACAGGCAGAGTTAGTGAGAGAAAGGTCTTCCTTCCGTTGGTTCAACCCCCCACCCCCAAATGGCACCGCGCTGACCCGAAGCAGGGAGCCAGGTGCTTATCCTGGTCTCTCATGCGGGTGCAGGGCCCAAGGACCTGGGCCATCCTCCACTGCACTCCCGGGCCACAGCAGAGAGCTGGACTGGAAGAGGAGCAACTGGGACAGAATTCGGTGCCCCAATCAGGACTAGAACCTGGGGTGCTAATTCATGCTAATAGCCCTTCCATTTCAAAGGGCAGAACCAAGTGTTAATAGAAAAATAAGCCCAAAACCAGGGAGGCACTGATACAATGGCAAGAAATTAGTTATCCCTCAGCACTGGCAATTATTCCTCCTTGAGGCAGAGGTGAGGCTGTAAATTAGTGAACAGGTTCTTTAGTTTCATGAGCAGTTGTCAGTCCTGTTTTGGTTTGTAAGTAGAAACACCTGCCTTTCTATCACAATAGCCACAGCATAGGTTCTTGCTCCCTGAATTTCTTTGCAAGAAATTCGCATAACATCAGGCATGTAGACAAAGCAAATTCTCCTGGCAGAATGCTTAAGTTTTTGCTGCTTCCAACAACCTGGTAAAATTCAACTATGTAAATATGAATCTCCACTGTTTGGCTGCCAAGAACCTGAAAACCAGTTTATAGCTGAACTCTAATTCAGTCTTGGTCTCCCATGTGGGTGGCTGTGACCCAACTGTCTTACAACTCAGAGCTTGCAGTTGGATTAGATCTTATTTTGCCCTTTTGGACAGTGATAGCTATCACTTATGTTAGAAAAAGACAATCAACTGCTGGTTCATTCCCCCAAATGTCCACAGCAGCCAGGCCTGGACCAGGCTGGGGTGAGAGGCATGAACTCCATCCTGATTTTCCACCTGAGTAACAGGGACTCACACACTTGAACCATCACTTGTTGCCTCCCAGGCACATTAGCAGGAAGCTGGATCACAAGCAGAGGTGGGACTCAAATCCCAGAAACCCCAATATGGGATGCTGGCATCCCAAGGAATAGGATAACAATGCCTAATCCAGACAAAATTTTCTTAAAGCATACAATGGAATGGGAGCAAATGATATGCTGGGAAAACACAACTCTGTTTTGCAGTCTACTTATACCTCACTTTTATTTTTTAATATTTTGAATGGAACAACTGTTTTACTTGTATTGTTTTCATTTTGGAAGCTGTGATAGTTTTTAAGTCTTTTTTTTTTTTTAATTTTTTTTTTAAAGACTTACTTGAAGGACCAAGTTACATAGACAAGTGGAGACAGAGAGATACAGAGATCTTCCATCGCTGGTTCACTCCCCAAATGGCTGTAACAACCGGAGCTGAGCCAATCCAAAGCCAGGAGCCAGAAGCTTCTTCTGGGTCTCCCACATGGGTGCAGGGGCCCAAGGATTTGGGCCATCTTCTACTGCTTTCCCAGGTACCACCACGGAGAGTTGGTGATTTACTAGAAAGGTGACTGTAATGTCATTTACTGGGCAAGAATGAACCGTTTGAAGAAAAAGAGTGTTAAATTGCACATTCAGGAAGAAACAGCCAGTTTGCAATCAGATAAAATGATCTAAGCTAGACCAGTGGAACTGGTAATAAAAACTAGTGGAGGAGCCAGCACTGTGGCAAAGTGGGTAAAGCCGCCGCCTGCAGTGCCAGCATCCTATATGGGTGCCAGTTCGAATCTCCACTGCTCCTCTTCTGATCCAGCTCTCTGCTATGGCCTGGGAAAGCAGCAGAAGATGGCCCAAGTACCTGGGCCCCTGCACCCGCATGGGAGACCCAGAAGAAGCTCCTGACTCCGGGCTCCTGGCTTTGGATATGCACAGCTCTGGCCGTTGCAGCCATCCGGGGAGTGAACCAGCGG